TTCGCTTACATGTAAGTATAGGCAGGTACCTGTTTTAATAAAAAATATTTAAGGGAAGTCGGTAGGGCATATATCACCAATGCTAAAACTGATCTTTTCAATGTACCTTTTCTAAAAAACTACTCTTGATATCGCTTTGAATTTTTTTAGGATATTTGAGATTATATCAGTTGTTAGCTGGGATAATATTTTAGCATTAACAGGAATATTTTTTGAGTTATAAAAGAGTTTTGCTCAAAAATGATGAAATTTTCATTAAAAATATTTCAGTTTATAATTTTTCAAACAAAAAAAATCACAGTTATCACAGTGTATACATGTATATGTAAGTATTCCGTGAAAAAAAACTGAAGCAAAATCTTATTTAGATGCTGAGAAAAGGTACATCGAAGAAGGTGAGTTTTAGCATTATTGGTATATGCCCAACCGACTCCCGATAAGTAAAGTATCATATTTTTATAAAAAATTAGTTTCAACGGAAAGTAAGAGCGGCTTTAATGATTTGTCTAATCATCAGCACTAAGTTAACTTAATTAGCTAAAAATTTTCCAGATAAAATTTATTATTCAATTTTTATTCGTATGACCAGATTCATCCAAAATTCCAGTTTACTGTCACCAGCGTTCGAAATTAATGTCTGCGATGTTTATAGTAATCTTTGCTATTCATTGCAACATTTTGCCTTTTGTTTTTAAATTCGAACTTAAATAAATTAAACGAAATTAAATGTATAAATGAAACTTAAATAAGTTAAACGAAATCGATTTTTTTTGCAATATGATGTAACATTTATTTTTAGAACAAATATATGAATTTAGATGAAATGTTTTTATATACCAAAATGCAAAAAAGTTTTCTCTTAATGAAATAAAATTATCAAAAGTAATTTAAACATTTAAACATAAGTTAGTAAAATAATGTACTGCGTTAATTAACCATCCTGAATTTCTGCGTGTGTAGGGTGTTTTGCGATGATCATCCTAGAAAGATCATCTTAGAAATGATCATCCTAGCAATGATCATCCTACAAATGATCATCCTAGAAAAAATGAATCCAAGAAAGCTTACTCATAAATGGTCGAAAATAAATGTTTAAGTGAGAAAAAAAAAACTCTATCAAAATCAGGTAAATCACAATTGGTGAAAGTGGGCGAGCAGAGAGGAGTCGGATTAGAAACACTTCCCGATTTCAACCGGCAATTGAACTAGTTTTGATGCTTTGTACTCGTGCCTTCCTCAATAGTGATTGCCAGATTACAATATCGGTTTTGTGATTTTTTCACTTAAATACTGAGATAAATTGTAATTTTTTACTTTTTTTAAAGATGAGTGGTAAAATAAGATTGTTCAGGGTAAATTTTATGGAACACTCTGTAAAATAAAAGCGGTAATTGAAACAGTTTTTTCTTCATAAAGTGTTTGTTCATTATTAATTCTTTCAAAAATGGAATACTAAAATACTAATTAGTAATCTAAAGCTACATACATTGCATTCATCATTTTTAATTTTTTAAGCACAAAAATAAGTATTACATTAAGACATAACTAAAAACTGAAACATTTCTGATCAAGTTGTATATAAATATACTCTCATAACTGGCTAATCATAAAATTCAACCTATGCACAAATTGATCGTAAAACTTATTCGATACATAAGCGTATCAATCAAAAATTCATTCATGCATATTAATTGTGTAATTGGAAAATAAATTACTTATCTAAATTTCTTATAAATGAATATTAATTTAAAGTTAGTTTAGATATTATATGTTGCAACCTATTTATTACTGTAAATTATATACTGTGTTTTCTGTTAAATCTTTAACGACACCCTGGAATTTTTTTCTTCGCACCGAAAGCCTCAAATAAAATAATAATATTATAAACATTTACTTCAAGTAATAATGTTTATTTAATTTCATAAAAAAAAATTCATCACTGTTAAGTTTTATCTGAAATAATTATGATTGTTAGAATTCAATAGTAAACGAAAAAAGGTTATTGTCAGTTTTACCAAATTTTATCATCTGTAAAAAATTGAAATATTGTACTTGAAATTTTAATTTAGATGCTTCAAAAAATATTTTATTTTCGATCATACAACATTAATGCTCGTAAATTTTATACAACATAAAATTTATTATGTGAGTGAGTATGCTATTATTAATATAATATTTCATGTATATGTAATTATTGACCTCTAATAATGTATTTAAGTCATAGTGTTTTCATAAATGAGTATCTCACTCTTTTCATGGGTGTTCAATCGTACAATGCTAACCACAGGTGGCGCTAGCGGTTACACTTCCGGGTTGCAACTTCCGATTTGTTTTTACATCTAAGTTTTAAAAACTTGCCCATTGCCCAAATTGCTAAGGTCATTGTTATTGAACTCGTACTGTTTACAATATGACCATTAAATTTTTTAACCCATTTAACTTTAGCCAATACACTCAAATAATAACAATTCTTAAAATTTATTTGCGTCGATTTATTAGTTTCTTTAAATCGATCAAAAGAACTTTATACCGAAACATCTTATGTATGGTAAAACTATGTGTCAGTTTAAATATAATCTCAATACCAACATTTCCTAGATTATTAAGACTGGTAACGAACGCACTGTCTCCTTAACTTAACATTATACCGGACGACGCACAGGAAAATTTCAAGACTCTGTTCAGGTTTCAGAATCTTGTTATACATACATAAAGTTAAACTAACGTACTACTCCTCTAACCAGATATAAATTGATTTGTAAGAAAAAAAAAATAAACTTCGAAATATTTCCATAATTTTTAATTTCCATAGTTTTTCAATTTTGCAGAAAATACTTTAAATAAGAAAAATTCCCAGACAATTTCCAAACATTGTCCTAATTTTAATAAATGTATTCTTGTTTTGTGTATATTTTTGAAGATGCCCCTATAAAATGGAAAATTTTGAGCAGCTGAAAAGCACTGAAGTTATCGTACAAGTGTAGTACATAAGTAAGTGTAGTATATAAGTAAGTGTAGTATATAAGTAAGTAAGTGTAGGATATAAGTGAGTGTAGTCTATAAGTAAGTACAGTATATAATCAGTGCGAGTGTAGTAAGTAAGTAAGTATCAAGAAATAGTTGCGAAATGATTGGGCATAAAATAGAGATGTACTCGAACCTCATCGAACTCGAGCATACAACTTCATATTTTTTCTTTTCCATCTAAAGTATGCCGGTCAATGTAATATTTAAGTGGCTGCTGCTTGTAGAGCTACATCTGCACACAAACATTGGTTGTAAAAAAGTATCAAAAATTTTTTTTGGTACGTTTGGCAATTTTATTAGGTAATTCTCAGAAGAACTAAAACACGAAATAAAACAGGAGCGGCATATATTTCAGATAAAAGATGATTTCTACTGTATTTTAGGTTACTAAACGTTAAAAATTCTCTAAATAATTCTGAAAAACTAAAGAAAAAAAATTAAAAAATTGATTCGTTAAATTAAAAAACCTTTATAAAGTGATAGTTTAATCTTGACACCTGGGTCAAACTATTGAGTACCAACATGAATCGGTATTAACCTGCTCATGCCAACCACTAATAGGCAATGAAAAAAATATCACATTTGTATTAGTGAACTATTAAGATATTACTTATACCTGCCTGAAAATTAAGTTGTTAACACCATTATTGCAGAATATTTCTGCACAATTGAAAATTGTTTTCGGTTTAAAATAGTCTATTTAATTTTCTGGTAAATATCGTAATCGATGCACTTTCTAAGTAAGTTAAAAATTTACATTTAATTTAAAGATGCATAATTTATCGCATAGTAACCTGAGACGCTTGGATTGTTGCCATTTATAAGCATGTAAGAATCTCTTAGTTCCAGAAATTTATTTCCGGGTTAAAATAGAAATATGCTATTTTATTTAAGCATATATTGGTATTAGAATAATCATATAAAAAAAGGCATTAAGTTTCTATATATATTGATATTTAATTCATGAACATGAAATAATGCATAATCACCGTTGAAGCAACCCGTAAAATCGATACAATCAAAATAATAATTATAAAACAAGATAAAAAAACATTTTCTCCTAAATTTACATAATATTGCTCATTTATATGATATAT